TTTAAAAATATTTATTTTTACAAATTTTAATAACAATATAATTTATATATTTAAAAATATGTATTTATTAGAAAATTTAATTATATATTAATTTTAATAATAATATAATTTATTAACAATTATGCCAAGATAGATAGTTCATTGAGGAAACTACTCATAGACGAAAATCATCTATCCCCTATTCGTGTCTCATTTCCTGTCCCACCAATCAACAAAAGTCATGTAAATTATATAGTCACATCATTCTAATTTAAGTTAGAATAAAAAACTAACGTAGTTATTAACTTTGTCTCTTCAACACTAAACCTCTCACTCAAACTTACCAGCAGACTTCCACGCTACCTGTTTATCTCTAAAGTGTAGCTTGTGTCAAAATGATGGAGTTATTTTATGATATTTGTTTGAGAGGATATTTTATGAGTTATTTTTATAAGGTTATTACACAAACATACTCCACAATGATGAGATATTGTCCGCTTTGGGCCTTAGCCCTCACGATTTTGCTTTTAGTCATCACCCAAAAGGCCTCTCAATCATTGAAGTATGTTTGTATTATATAAGTTGTTATTTGTTGTGTTATTTTATCGATGTGGGACTTGTTTGTATCCCAACAATCCTTCTCTCAAACAAGGGACCTAACCTTTCATGCAGCGGAATCTGTCTTTATATAGCACATTATATGTTATGAGTTTTTATGAGGTTATTGGTTGTCACCGAATCCAACCAGGCTCTGATACCACTGATGGGGTTATTTTATGATATTTGTTTGAGTGGATATTTTATGAGTTATTTTTATAAGGTTATTACACAAACATACTCCACAATGATGAGATATTGTCCGCTTTGGGCCTTAGCCCTCACGGTTTTGCTTTTGGTCATCACCCAAAAGGTCTCTCAATCACTGAAGTATGTTTGTATTATATAAGTTGTTATTTGTTGTGTTATTTTATCGATGTGGGACTTGTTTTTATCCCAACACAAAAAATGACCATAAGGCAAGAAGAATGACCGTGGTAAGCATCATAATGTAAACACATTCTCCTGCAAACAAATTCAAACATTAATACCTGGAAAATGAAAATCCCACACTTGTAAGCTTTGTAATTCTTATCACCCTCTACATTCTCCATAAGACTAAGTTTCATTGGACTGGATAATCACAAGATGCATTTGAAGCCTTCAAAAGTGATTCAATCCAAGCCCTTATTTTAAAATTTTCATATTTCACTCAATCATTCGTGATTGGAACCAGCGCCTTAGGCTTAGGAATTGTTATTGGGGTTGTCCTAATTCGAAATGGCCAACCATAGTTTATTTCTCCATGCATGCAAGTTGTCGTTCAATTTCACCATCATTTATATAGCCACTCATTTGTCATTCAAACTAATCAAGAAAGCTTGAAGCATTTGGATCAACAGGTCCTACAAACTCTTGAGCAAGAGGCTTTGCTGACAACACCTTGTGGTACAAATTCATCATTGAATATCAACCCAGAAAATCAAATTAACTTAGAAAAAATAATCTTAGACTTGTAGATAGACATTATGATGAAGTGGAGCCTTATATAGAGCAATTAATGAACACCTCAAATTGTTGTGAACCCAAGTTAAATGGATTGAAAAATTCAGGTAGCATTGATGTTGAGCAAAATGATGAATCATGTGAAATTATTGTAATGAATAATTATTTTATAATATTATTTTTCTTTAGTTAAGCCATGACATTTAAATACTTTTATGCTAGGTTCTTCGGAGACAAGGAAGGTTCGTGGACCTACTTTATTAAAAGATATATGGAATATGCCTCATGGATGACAATTGATGTCCAATTCAATAACCGTAACCAAGCCATAGGAAAAGAGGGTCGAAAGCTTGCTAGCTTTCTTGGCATTATAGCTAGAAACCCAAAATTAACACCTTTAAACATAGATGATTGGAGAAGTTTTGATCAAGATCAAAAAAAGAAATTGGTGGAGCTTGTGAGGGTATGAAATAACTATTCTCATTAGTTTTTAATATTATTTTATTTTATTTTATTTTTTGCTTGTTTTATATAACCTTGTAACTACTTGTGTGTTATTTATGTAGAGGAAATTCTCAATCCCCGCACGTGATGAAGATTTTGTAAAAAAATCACTAGGGAAGAAATGGAAAAATTACAAATGTGAACTAAGGTGTATGTACATGACAAGGTATAAGACTAGAGATGCCTTGATAAAAAGTAGACCAACTCGTATACCAAGGGACCAATGGACTGGTCTTGTCTCTTATTGGTTTTCTGATAAAGGAAAGGTAACAACTTTAGAAAAGACCAACACATAGTTTATATTTCTCTTTATTTTTTTATAAATATATTATATGATATTATTGTGTGTTTTAATAACAGAAGCGTAGCCAAGCAAATAGAAATAATAGGACAAAGCAAAAGATGCCTCACACTGGAGGATCCAAAAGCATTGGAACCTTAATGGCCGAAAAGGTATTTGTGGATAATTTACAAATTATAATATTGTTACATTTGTCTTGAGAATTTATTTGACATCAACTTAATCCTATTAGGCCATAGATGGGATGGAGCCTACAAGGGCAGAAATCTTTATATTAACTCATAAGAAACGTAAAGATGGAAGACCATTGGATGAAGTGTCTGCAAAAATATAGTGGTTAGATTTTTTAAGCAATTTTTATACTTGTTATATATTATATATGCCATTTGAATTATTTTGAATATTTTTATATTGATTGTGAGTATACAATAACTTCAAACTTGCTTACATAGGATGTGATGCAAGAAAAATTGAACAATGGTGAAGCATCTAATGAAAAACCTATTGGTAGTGTTGCTTGGGAAGGAGATGTGTATTCCCAAGTATTGGGGGCTGAAAGAAGTGGCTATGTTCGTGGCTTAGGGCTTGGTCCAACACCTTCTTTGTTGTGGGGTTCTAAATCTTCCATAGGAAGTACTTTTGCTGATAATATATCTAATGGGGTAGTACAAAGATTAGAGCAAAAGGTGAGGATGTTAAAGGAGTTAAAGGAAAAACATGATGAAGAAATGAATTTGATGAAACAAAATCAAGATAAGTTACTTTCAGAACTATCTTTCATTAGAAAATTCATGTATAAACATTTTCCAATGGAGCTATCTATGCCTCAAAAGTTCAATGGAAGCTCATTTGGACAGGTATGATTCAAATGCTTTTAAACAAATTTTTTTTTTCAAATTTTGATTGTAAAAAATTTTATTTTATTATGTCTTAATTAGGTCTTTGGTACTAATATTGGCCAGGAAAAAGCACCAGAAATGCCACATATGCCCTTTGGTACTCATGGTAATTTGTTACTGCTTTTTGTTTATTGTTTCAATCTTGTCTAAATGTTTCTATCAGGGCAATAGAATATTCCTATGCTAGAATTGATTAAAACAAGGGAATTTTTTCCAGCCTACACTCCCTGTATTTTGTTTGTATGTTATATGTCTTTCCAAAATACAATGCTCCTTTATTGTAATTTATAAAAGAGACAGATTTTTTTTTACTTTCTACCATTTTTAGAAGAGGCTAGGTCTTTATCTAGATGATATATCCATCCACATTTTCGTTTCCCAAATAAACCCTTATTGCACATCTATGTGACATTTGATATCCTAGTTGAATTTTTTTCTATTCTATAGCTTACATATTTGTCTTTTTGGATTTGTAGAATCAAAATTACCTACAAAATCTATTGCAACTATGAAAATAGGTTTGGCCCATGTCTTCTTGTTTTACACATGCTATTTTTTCTTAAATAGGTTTAAGTTACTTTTGTAATTTCTCAACCTTTTTGTTTGGATTTGTAGAATCACAATCAACTAAAATTCCAATTGTTATAGTGGAAACAGGTTTTAAAAAAATATTGTTGCTTCTCTTTTGAGTATTTAATTTTTTTTGTATAGTAATTTGATTTATTATAATATGTAGAGGTTAACAAAAACAATATGGTTCAAGCTGATGACCTCACTTTCTTGCTTAAGCTTACTAGAAAAGATAATGATGAAGTTGTTCGCATACTATCAGCAAAGGCAATTGCCAATTTATCCATGAATGGTGATTATTTTTTATACATTGTATTATTTAATTTCATTTCACAGTTTTTCCTTTAAATTTTTACTAGTGCGAAAACAGTTAAAAAGCAACTTGTCTGGTGTTGTCTTGATCTAGAAATTTGGCCTGAGTAGGCATTGTGCAAATGATGAGATCTCAATTTTTTCAATTCTATTATAAGAATTTTGACCTCTTGCATATCAAAGTTCTTAGTTTGTTTAACATTTGTTCTTCAAATGCATTTGAAAGAGACAGTTTATTAGGTACCCAAAAAAAAACATTGCATCAAAATCTGATAGTGCCACTAAGAACTTTTGTATTAAAAGACGCTATTTTATCCTCTTCTTCCTCTTTTATTTTAGTATGTTTGATTTTAAATTTTATTTTAATTTGTGCCAGGTTCTTGGCCAATCTGATCTTAAAATGGATGTTGAAGTCCCTATTGATTGAAACTACCTGCAGTTTTCCCTGTTCTCTTGAAAGATAGAAATTGTAAACTCTATTCATAGGATTCTTGTAATATATATTTCATGTGGAAATCAAAAGTGCACAAATACAGTTGTCCCCTTTCATCTTGGGATTCTTGTAATACTGTTGTCTTCCAACCTCTAGCTGTTTTGGAGCCAGTTGGAGAAGCTCGAGCTTGATTCAGTTTTTGACATGTTTTACTAACTTTTGAGTGTCTGCGATTCAAATTTGAGGTAATTCTTTCTATTGGAAGTTTCCAACCGTTGGTGAATTTGCATAGTTCAACTTTCTTTCCCACCATGCAGATTTCTAGTTGTTTGCTGTATGTTTTTGCACCTTGCTATTTTGCTTAGATGTCACTCCGGATATCTTCTTGTTATACTAGTCTGATTAGGTAAAGTGAGACACGCCAACGAGGATAATGCTTTTGGTAAACTGAAATTAATGAGGAGATTGCTATTGGAACTCCAAATTGCTATTTAAACTCCAACTTTTTAGAAATTGTTTTTTGATAAAAAAAAAAAGATTTGGACACTCACTCACAAAATAACAAGATAAGTTTTTGTGTATCTTGACACACGTTAAGTTACATAAGAAAAGTAAATTTTTGTTGTGTATCTGAACTAAGTTTTTGCTGTGTATCTGAACTAAATGGAAGTATATTTATGTCCCTGAATCGTTTAGAAAAAAATGTAGTTATAACTACCAATACAGTGAAGATGGACATTGACAACTTGGCCTTCCTCTTTTCAGCCGATTAGTTTTAGACTAAAAATAACTTTATTTAATTGAATTTAACTAATTGAGTATCAATACGCTATCAAAATAAATTATTTTATCTAATAAAATTCAATTGTATTTCTATACAACTTTTTTTACATATATAAAAATCTATTATTCAATGAAATTACTTTTAGTGGCCATTAAAATTGTCACTAGAATTGTCATTAAAAAATTTTATTTTTTCCGGTCATTTAAAAGGTTTTTACAAGCACTCACTTTAAATGCCACTAATAGTTTTACCAACCTCAAATACAACGGCCATAATCTAATTGCTGGTAAAGATATTAATGGTTATTTGTATGGTCGCTAAATAACATAAAAATTGCCAAAAAAAAATCATTTTTGGTGTTATGTTAGTCTTATTTTTAGTTTTAACTTCATATAGACATCTTTACCCCCCTTAATTATTATGCAACTCCCAATTCCCATTCCAATGTAATGTGACTATCAATTAAAGGATAAAATGAAGAGAAAAAAGGGGACATGTATAAACACAAATTTAGTTTTAATTTTTACATTTTATTAGACTATTTTAGTTTCAACCACTGGCACGTTAATGTAAATCAATCATTCTTCTTCACTATCATGTAGACAACAAATGTAAACCACCAACCATTTTGTTATCGTCCATGGCCATTACACTTTCACTTTCTTGTTTATTTATTTTATTTTAATTTTAAATGAATATATAGAGACATAGTGTGTCTTTTTCTTCCTAATAATAATATCGTGGATGTGATTACATCCTTTGCTTGATATTTCTTAGTAATTAGTTTGCCAATTTCATATCTTGCACTAAAGGTGATTTTCCAATTAAAAAGGTGCAGGTCTAATTAACCCTAACCTGGTGCTCGTTGTAAATATATATTCCATTCTCATAAGTCATAAGACTTTATTTGTAGAATATGCATAGTCACAAAATAATAAATAATATATGTTTAATTATTTTTTTTGGTCGCCCAAGATATCTCAATTCGTGAGTTATAAAAACTACTTCCTCAGGTATAAATATCTATTTAAGATACTGTCCTCTTTTAATAGATGTTGTTTCAAATATTAATAGATATTTAATGTTGAATTGATTACTTAGTCTCTTTATTTAATACTCATTTGTGCAAGGAAAAACAATGTAACATTTTTTTTTTGTACTTACTTTAAGTAAAAGGTGTAATAGTTTTGATAAATTCTCAAAAAACGGTAAATGTTTTTTTTTTTTGAAAAAAAAAAAGGTAAGTTGTGTTTAGGGTTCACGGTATACAAGAGAGAAAGAGAGAAATTGTGTTTTAAAACACAATTTATTATTTATTTTTTTTATTTAAATTAGTAGAAGTTGTGTTTACGACACTTTTTTTTTTCAAATGGAACTTGTGTTCTCAATATATTTATTTATTTATTTTAAATTTTAATTTACAAATTATGATTATGAATACAGCTTTCATAGTTTTTTTTAAGTCGTTTTATTGTAAAGAAAATATAAAAAGAACTTGAAGAAAAAAAATGTTGTGTTCTTAATCATGATTTATAAATTAATATTAAATAAATAAATACACAACTTCCATTTAAAATAAAATAAAAGTGAAAAAAAACTCCAAATGTCGTGTATCATAAATATAACTTCTATGGTGTAAAAAAATTAACTTCTATTAATTTAAATTAAAAATATTAAATTACAAATAGTGTTTTAAAATATAACTTCACTCTTAAATTTTCTGATCTACAAGCATGACTTACCTTCTTTTTTTTAATAGACATTTTTAATGAAAATTTTGTAGAAAAAAAACCTTTTTACGTAAAAAAATTATATTATTTAAATCTAATATATTAATATTAATTGTCAACTTTAAAATATTAAGAGAATCATAAAAAAAACGATAAACAAAGTATGACATATAAAATATTAGAAAAATAGAGGATAAACTATAGAAATAAAGAAAATTGTATTTCTTTTGTCACATAAATTATATGAACTATTATTCTAATTATAGTAGAGTAAGCTTTAATTATTACACAACATTTTAATTAAGACACTAAATATATATTATTATTTATATTATTGATAAAGTATTGGTATGTTTTTTTTGGTGTATACATTATATTGACCATTTTGTCACTCTTCCAAAACACCTTTTTTTCTTATGTTTTTTTATTTAGTTTTTTTTCCTACTTTTCCATGAGTTTGTCTTTCAAACTTCTTACATCTTTAAATAATTACTCAAAATCATTCACATGTATTTAACTTTAATTATTTTTATGCATAAATTGATATACAATTGATATTGTTCTTCGATCAGAATTTGAGTTTCACCTTAGTAATATGCATAAATATATATTTCCAGGAACTTTTTTAAACGTAAATATATATTATCGAGATAATATATATTATCGAGATAAAATTTCAATTCTAATTAAAAAATATTATCTATAGTAATATACTTTAATTTTGTCTTTTTTATTAAGTAACTATTACATAAGTACCTACCATTCCACCTTGTCTTTATTTAGACTTTTCTTTTCTTTCCTCTTTTTTACATAATTATCTATTACTCCCCCCAATTAGAATTTCTCTTCTGTCTTTTATTATTTTAGGGATTATTATTATTATTATTATTATTATTATTATAATAATAATAAACTGGTTGGATTAGATTAAAATTAAAAAAAAACACAAACTTAATATTCAGTCCGTCTTAGATTTTGATCAGATTGAACCGGATCTCATTAAAACACTGAAATAATTTGATGTAAAGCGTTGGGGTAAAATTGTGAAATTTTGAAGTAATCGAAGGACTCCTAAAGGATCGTTCGACAAATCGAAGAAAAACAGTTATAAGCAATTCAAGGAAGTTACCCACATTCGCATGAATAGCGGGATGGTTATAGACCATAAGGAATTGATATATATTAACTACTTTTTGAAATTAAAGTTGAAGACCTCGAAGGGATTATTCGAGAATCGAAAAATGCAACAGGTAGTTACAAGAAGTTAAGAACGGTTGAGAGAGGTTATCCCACATCGCATAATATAGAGCAATTACACATACCATGTTGAACCAATGCAAAAGTAACTACTCTTCCCTATCCTCTATAAATAAACGAGGTAGGCTCATTTTAGAGGGCCGAAAATTGCATGTTGACATGCATCTACTGCCTACACCTATGGCTCCCGTGCACAAGATTGTTGAGTATGATTTCTTGGTCACCCTTTTCCTTGCCTTTTCTTAGAGTAGTTTTAGCCTAGTCAGTATAGAGTAGTACTATATATAATTTTGTTGCTTCTCAGAATCCCTGTGCATTGTAAATCAAAAACTTATTGAAAGCCAACAAATTATGATTTATGTTATCAATATATATGTTGTTCATTCGATTCATTTAAATATTTATATGCATGAATCTCGTTTCATGATAATCATCAAAGAACATCTAGAAATCTTTGCATGTTAAATCACATAAAATTGAACATCAACTAGTTTTACATGCTTGTTTAATTGTGATCATGTGTCTTTTTGATATGTAACCCTTGTCCATAGCAATTCATGGTAAGCGAAGAATATAGGTTATCTAAAATCCATTCACATAGTATTTTAAAATTCTAATAACTCGACGAATTGTTATTCATTACATACCTAAATTGAAAACTTTGCTAATTCGAATAAAAAGAATCCATAAACAAAAATTTCTACAAACACAAAGTCATGATTCCCATGCTCAACGCCATGTTCTTCCCCCACCCCTAATATTTCTTGCACAATAAAAATAATAATAATAATAAAATAATAATAAATAAATAAATATAAAAAAAAACATTCCCACCTCCAACACCACCTATTTGACAAAATTTTTCACTCAAATGCGCTCCACTCTCCTAACGTCCCTTTATTGATACAAGTCAGCTCTGAGGTGATGGGACGAACAAAACGCCTCCCTCCCAGACTCTTCTTTTCTTTTTTCAAGATACTCAGCAGACGTTTCCACCCCTTTACATTTTTTTTTTTCCATTACACAATAGGCACCCACAACCAGGGGCATTTTGCTTGCATTAGTGTCAGCTTCACAAAAAAAATTATTCTGGTAACTAATTTTTTAAATTATTTATTTTTGTAATCTTTTTTTTTTTTAATTTACTGTGGCCCAAAAGTCCAAGATCTAATGTCTATCCCTCTTTTGCACTAGTAATGACTTTCCAAAGTGAACCCCACATT